AGTGCTGAAAAAAACTGGTCTCAGCCCGCCTCCCCTGGCATTTACCGTCCTCTACTTATCGCCTTACCCCGCCCGCCATCATCTCACCCGCCTCCACCCCGTGCACCTCCACCCCAGCCCGACCGCCTCCACCACAGCCTGCCCGCCTCCACCCTCCCCCCGTTCCGCGCCCATCGCCCAGCGCCTGGCGCCCGGCGCCCGCGGCGCCCGCGGCGCCTCCGCGTCCGAAGAATGCAAGTGAGAATGTGTAACATTCCGACGCATTCCACCGTTATGTTGGTATGCCGCTGACCCGGAGCCGTAGCAGGAGCCGGCGCTTGCTTGCCGTCCGCCCGCCCGCCAGACCGGCTACTGGCGTCCGGGCGCAGCGCCTGCAATACGAAGGGGAGGGGCCTTGCGGCGCGCGCTCCGGGATGCACTCCGCCCCCTCCCCCTCTTTACGCGCATAGCGTGAATCCCCTCCCAGAACATTTAAACGGTGGAGGGACTCATTAGCTAATCTCTTCGAAAGCAATGTATGTTTAAGTCAAAGAGTAATAAGGATAAAATGTGGAGATAATTCCACATTAATTAGAATTAATCAAGTTTTAATTGTAAAAAGGATGTTCGCCACTGACCATTAGCTCAAAGTAGAAAATATATCTAATGCTCGGGGATGTTCGGGTGGTTTCTCGTACTAGGCAATTTTGCTGGCAACCGAGAGCATTCGACTCTGACGGAAACCTATCATTTTTTTAAACGTTTTGAAGGAGTGTCTTCGATGCTTCTCAGGCAAAATATGTATACTTGTATTATTGTATTCCCAATTGCGTTTTATATTCATCATGGCACTAAGAGTAAAGCGTTTCGCTAATTCTCTTCCAAAATCGTGAGAATGTGATGCATCAGTTGCCGCCTACAACTCATACTTTCGTCGCTTGTTGCGTGAGAATACAGATTCCTCAAAGGTGCTCTAGAAACATCTCAGCCATCGAGCAGGAGATCCGGAGTTTCCGGGTGCCAGATCTCTCGAGAATTAACTGGCACCGGCGGGCACCGGCTGAGGGGCACCGGCTGAGGTGGAGTCGGGTGGGGTACGGTGGGAATGGATGGGCACAGTGGGCGAGGCGGGGCGGGCGTAGAGCAGATCGACGCGAGCAGCAGCAAAAGAGTAGCACGCCGCATGGCACCGTGCCGCTGTGGGGGCCGGGCAGGCCTTCGCGAGCGGGGTGGGCCTTGACGGGGCGTGGCAGGTCTGTTTGGGGCAGGGTAAGTATGTATTGGGCGGGGACTTACGGGCTGGACGTCGGAGCGGGGGAGTATGGAGCAGGGCAGGGTAAGGCCGG